TTTTTTACTTTGATTCATGAATCAAAGTGAAATGTCTTCTTTCTGCTTTGCGCCCTTTTTTCTTAAATAGTCATATTATCTGTTTTGCTGCAGGTGAACATGGAATCGGATGTTGTGACTGCTGGCACATCAGAAGGCTTGCAACAAATGGTTTGTTAATGTTCAGATTTTAGATTCTTTAGTTACTGTATAATGTTCTAAGTGTCATTCAGTGTTTCTAATTGGAAATCAGTCGCAGCTGAAATATCTGAATACTGAAGCTTTTGTCATACAGGATTGGAAATAAGTTTGTTGTTTGTGACAGATCAGAAAGACTCATGCATCATGTTAAGAAATTATGGTTGCACTTCACTTTTGTAGTCCAAGTCAAACTAACTATATTTATGTTATATGTCTAGGAGAAACTTGGCCCCCGACCGGTCAATCTAGATGGATTTTTCGGCCCTCAACAGGGTGTGCAAGGAATGGTAAGAAATTTAGTTTTTGGTCATCGATTTTAATTTTTGTTTCGGCTATCCTTTTCTAAGACCTGTTTTATGTTTTTGACAGGTGCAATTAAACTTGATGGCCCCACGTGATAATTACTATGGAAACCAGCAGACCATTCAAGGACTAGTATGCCCTCTAATAATATTGGCCAAAATACTAGTTCATTTCTTTTACACTTCTATTTTTATTGACTCAAGTAGTGCCATGACAATGGATTGTTGACGTTTGACCTTCTGTAGGGCCAGTTGAACTCTATTGCACCCACTCATGATGGTTATTATGGCACACAACCGCCCATACATGGACTGGTAATTGTCTTTATTGTCATTAGTGTGTTTTGGGAAATAGTTACTAAAACTACCCTGAGATTTAGTGATTATTTTCTTTCAAAAGTTGAAAAAACACCCCTGGACTTTAAAAGTACGAACTTAATTAGGCTTCTCGTATTAGTAATTATTGCACCATTTTATTTTTCTGATCTGTTAAATTGTGTTTGATCTGTGGTAATTTCCATGTTTTCCTTTTCTTTTTCTTCAAGGGTCAAATGGATTTTTTCCGTGCTCCAAATTTCGGCTACGCTATTCGGGTTAGTGTTACTGGAGAAATGAGCTCGATTATTTATTACCTGTCTTATGATTTATACAACAACAACAACAACAACAATATAGCCTTATGATTTATTACCTGTCTTATGATTTATACACGTCATTTTTTCAGCAGGAGGAACCGAATGTGAGATCTACCACCCAGTTGCATGATGATGCACCGAGACATGCATGAACAACCATCTTTCTTCACTGCACCCTTAAGGTAAAGTATTTTTTTTTCCCAGTCAGAAATATCGAGTGCTTCAACTGTTATTCTTTAACTTGATAATTTATTTTTCCGTTATTTCTGCAGACATTTGTTATATTTGGCAGAGTAAAGTATTTGTCCTCTGTTGACGCTCTGATATAATGCCGCCTGATCGACTGAGAAGCAAGAGATATTTGTTATATTTGGCAGATGGTTTTGTTGTAGTTAACTGTAGTAACAGTTGTAGTTTTAGTTAACTTGTTCGGCATGATCGTACTTAGTTGTACGCGAGCTTGTTTGTTGTGAACTAGATAATGAGAAATAGAAATAATGGTTACTTGTATGTATAGCATCCATTTGGTTCGTTTCTGCGTGCAGTTTGTGTTATGGCCTTTTACTTGCTATGTAGGTTTTTATGATTTCCTTTTTTTTTTTTGGAAATTGTGTTCTCATAACTTGAACCTTCACTTTAAGTCAATAAGTTTCAGCCTCAACGTTTTTCTCCACATAATTTGGAACCATAGAACTATTATCCATGGCAGATCACAGAAAAAATGACAGCAATCCAGTAACATGTTGTGTATACTTTTTGATTTCAAAAGAAATGTCCAGGACGTGGTTAATTATAGAATACAACTCATCAAAACCAAGATCAAAACCCTCTGAGTATCCTAAACTTTATGAGAATGCAACAGATTACAAACTTCAAGATTTATTGCAGTAAATATAGAACTATAAATCGGCCGCTGATCAATAAGCATTAAACGGACGACGACCTTTTCTTCAATTGGCACCATAATCCATTTTTGGTGTGAATCGTGGCCCCTGTAACGAGTTCCACAGACTCGGGTGATCCTTTGAGACCCACATCGAACTTTTGTAATAACAGTGCCAGAGCTATAGTCGACTCCATGAGGGCAAATTGGTCACCCACACACTTTCTTGGCCCTCCTCCGAACGGCAAGAAGGCGAAATCCGATATAATCTGATCAAATCAGATACACACATTACACAACATTTTAACAACCATTTTTTTATTTTTATTTTTATTTTTTTGTCGATATGAAATAGACTTAAAACCCAGAGCTATAGTCCAAGACTGATTTACCTCGTTCGGGTAGAGTGCACCAGGGCTTCGAGATGGATCGAAACCAGCCCAACCTTCAACCTGGCTCGACTTTTGCATTTGAAACCTCTCGGGCTCAAAGTCATTCGGGTTATCCCAAAAATGCGGGGATCTATGCAGATTATAAACCTGACCAGATCAACATATATATATATTTTCTTATAGATATTAGTTTGACAAGATATAGTGAAACTTGAAAGAAAATAATAATAAGAAGAAGAAAACATACAGAAACAAATAGATCAGTGCCGGCTGGGATTGGATATCCATCTTTGTCACCATTATAACCACCTGCAGTGAAAATAGGAAACTAAAGTTCAGTTATTATCATAGCATTTTGTTTTCTAATTTACTATAAAGATTTCCTTCTTCAAAATCCACCAAATACAAATATTCTATAAATAAACAGTGAAGAACCTGGTAATTTATCTGACTTGAGAGACCTTCTAATGAGCAATGGGGGTTGTGGATACAAACGTAACGCTTCCACAATAATAAGACGTAAGTACCTGTGTTTT